CTACCCAGTACCCCCTGGCTACAGAATACATAAATAAGGATTATCTTTCATGGGAAACGCAAAGGTGGCGTACGCAAAGTCTACAGAATACGTTAGGCAGAGATGGCGTACGCACATGCTCCTCAAATTAACTCACGTCCATGGAGTTCTGTTCTTGTAACTATGCGTGCAAGAAGTCTATGCCCATTTGGATCACTTAACTTCAGAAAATTTGGGAGGGATGAAATATGTTCCCCCACTGGAAAATTGACAAGGGCCACTGGTGATGGCAGCTTCCGGAGGGTTGCTGATGAAGAGGAGAAAGAAGTTGAAGAAGAAGACGCATTTCAAGTGTTGACCGCTATAACTAGCAATTACAATGACATTGTAATTGTAGAAACCCCCAAATCCAGAGTGCTGCTACTCGACTCTTCTAGTACACTACTGCTCCTGCTCTCGCTTATTCTCAATTTCGTTCCTTCATGACCTTCTAACCTCTTCCCCCGTGTTGACGCAGATAATGTCCACAGCATTCTTTACAAGGAGCAGAAGTGGACAGGTTCTTACTGGGTCAGTAAACTCGGTCTCCTTTGTCTCTCTCCATGCGCGCGCACATTTACACGGATACACACACCAACCTGTAAAGCTATTATCTTCAACTAAAAAGAATCAATAAATATTGTAATTGGACAAAAATCTTCCATTCGCACTTGTCTGCTTTGTTGGTCTCAGCTATATAGCATTTATGTTTTGTGTTATTAGCTTGTTACTGCAGTCGACTCAAGCTATGTTGTAAGTTGTAATGAAGATCATTATACGACACTAAAGAGGACACGTGGAATAGAAATGGACTTCCATTTTCTAAGAGCTATCACTTAGAAATACAAGTCTATACAAATGCAATTATGCGAATTGGTCTAGTCGAGTGACTAAGAGGAGATTGACTTTAGTCATTTACATTTCTTACAGAACATTTCGTTTCTCAATAGATCAAGGGCGGTACGGTATGCAGTGCAGAGGTAAACTTTAGAGGTCTGACACATGGGATATTGGGTTGCTGACTTGTCATTAGGGCTAGCCGGGAAGTCTGTTGCAAGAAACCAGACTGTCTTTGGTGAACAGAAGATTAGTGGAGTCCATTTGGAGTTCTAAGCACATTGCATGGAAGATCTTGGATGTTTTCAGACCCTATTAGAGGTATTTTCATTTTGTGGATGGACGCTTCTTTTGGTATAGAGGAAGTTGTAGAAGGTTCATTTTCCATTTCTGTCAAATTCTTGCCTGTGAATGAGTTTGGTTTTTGGCATCGTTGCGGTGGTCATTTAAAAAGACGTCTGGGAGTCCATTAAGAAAGTGTATGAAGAGACATAAAGGCTTGTATGCTCTTATTTGCCTAAGTTTCTTAGTGAGGGAGAGTTTTTATCTTATTGCTTGCTCAAGAACCTTGTAAGGGTAAGAGATTCGTCATTGTTAGTGGTGTAACCAAGAGGAGAGAATTTTATTAAAAGGGATTAGTCATCCTTTACAAAGGGAAAGGCTTCCTATTTATACACAAAGGAGCCACGGGCAGAAGAAGCTTAACTAACTGATCTGAAGCTAACTAACTAAAGAGCTGAGTTTCGTTGAGGACACTCATTCGACAGATAGCCAACTTGCCCACAGTGAAAACATTTACCAAGTGTGGGTTGGGCATACGTATTTGTGGTTTTCTTGGCAGTTTGTTGTTCCCAATTTTCACTTCGTCTCTGATGTAACTAAATTCTATCTAGGTTAGTTTAGTTTAGTTGGTAAGGGAGTTAGACTTTTACTGTTATCTACTTAATCCTTTTACCGTGGCCTTCCTCTTATAAATAGGAGGTCCTTATGTCTTTAATTCATTCATTCAATCACAATAAGATTTCATTCCTTTGATCTACACCAAATTGGTATCAGAGCACCAATCTTTGGCTTGTAAATGGCGGGAAAGAAGAGCATGCCGACTTGAGGTAATTCTTCACTCACTGAAAAAGAGGCGGACACCATTGTTGTCCTCTCTCCACGATCCACGACAACCCGTTTAATGATGGTTGGGGGGGCTGTTGAAAACCTCCAATGGAATATGGTAGAGATTCGCCAAATTCTGAATGTCATCGCGGATAAGTTGGATGACCTTAAACTTTGCCAAGATCAACCAAGATCAGCGCATGGAAAAGAGGTGCGGGAGCAAGGAATAAGATTGACACTAATGTTAACAACCCAGCTCCAAGATTCCAACAAGACCCCCTCTTCAAATACCCCTCCCAATGGCCCGTCGAAATTTAGATATTCCTGGTACTCAGGCCAAGAATTCCATAACAGAGGCCCACGCAATTATCAAGAACCAATCTTTTTTCCGCGGCGACAGCAAGACTGGCAGGGGGATCAGGTTGCACACCGAAGATATGGTCGCTTCCCACGGCGCCAGGATTTTCAAGGTGATTCTTCAAGTGATGAAGAGGAGTTCCAACACTGGGGTGATGGTAGACGACAGAACAGAGCACATCAACATCACTAGAGGGAACAAAATGAATACAAAGTGAAGGTGTATCTCCCCCATTCTAATGGAAAGATGGATATCGAAGCCTTTCTTGAGTGGATAAAGAATGTCGAAAGTTTCTTTGAGTAATCATAAAAAGGTAAAGTAAAACTAGTGGCTTTCAAATTGAAAGGGGGGCGCGTTGGCATATGGTGGGAGCAGCTGGAAACGAATAGGCAACGTTTTGGTAAGACTTCTATTTGCAATTGGGAGAAAATGAAAAAACTTATGAGGGCCCGCTTCCTCCCTATCAATTTTGAACAGATCTTGTACAATCAATATCAAAACTGCAAACAAGGGACACGTTCTATTGCCGAATATATGGAAAAATTCCATCGGTTGGGAGCAAGAACCAATCTTGGAGAAAGTGAGCAATATCAGGTAGCTAGATTTATCAGTGGGTTACGGGCAAACATTAAGGACAAGCTACAAATCTAGCCTATTGGATATCTTGATGAAGTTATAGCCACTATAGTCACTGTGGAGGAACAATAGGCTAACCAGTTTAGCATTCAATATCAACGACGAACCGTATGGGACAATCAGGCCAGCTCCTCAAGAAAAGGAACCTCTCTCTTGGACAAAGCCACAACCAGTAACACATCTAGTTTCAAAGCTAAAGGTTCGTATGATAAAAAAACATCAGACTTGGCAGTAAAAAAAACATCCAATACCTATAATAGACCTACTTTGGGAAAGTGTTTTCGTTGCAGGCAAGTCGGACATCTATCAAACGAATGTCCTCAACGGAAGGCCGTCAATCTTGTAGAGGATCTTCAGTACCTTGACATTTCTTGCAATCAAGAATCCAACGAGGAGATAGCCTACCTAGAACCGGATGAAGGTGATCAAGTTTCATGTGTCCTGGAAAGGATCCTTCTTGCTCCAAAGACACCATCAGTCAGCAACGCCACTCTTTGTTCCGCACTAGGTGCACCGTGAATGGAAAAGTCTGCAATATTATCATTGACAGTGAAGTACAGAGAACGTTGTTTCAAGTAAATTGGTAACAACCTTAAACCTTAAAGTTTCTCCTCACCCCACGCCCTACAAGGTTAACTGGATTCGAAAAGGGGGAGAAGCCCTTTTCAACACAATCTGTACTATTCCACTGTCCATTTGAAACAGATATAAGGATCAAATTAAATGTGACGTCCTTGATATGGATGTGTGCCACATCCTCTTAGGACGACCATGGCAATTTGATACCCAAGCTATCCATAAAGGCCGTGAAAAACCTATGAATTTACATGGATGGGCACAACTGTGGTGCTTTTAACATTATCAAGCCCTACGCCCAGTAAACACTTGGATAAAGGGAATTTGTTCCACCTTTGCAGTGCTAAAACACTTCTTCTCCAACACACAGAAACCATCCTAGGCCTTGTTATCATAAACTTTGACACCTCTGACATTTTACAAGATGTCGATGTCCCTCCCGAAGTTCAAACCCTTCTTCATAAAGTCCCTACTCTACTCCAACCCCATGACTCTTTACCTCCCTTCTGTGACATCCAGCATCATATTGATCTCATTCCCGAAGCAACTTTACCTAACCTTCCTTATTACAGAATGAGTCCTATCGAATGCAAAATATTACACGACCAAATAACCGAGTTACTTGCCGAAGGCCATATACAATCCAGCCTCAGTCCTTGTGTTGTTCCAACACTTTTAACCCCCAAAAAAGATGGGTCGTGGAGGATGTGTGTTGACAGTAGGGCTATCAACAAAATTACTATTAAGTACAAGTTTCCTATTCCGCAGATCAACAATTTCTTGGACCAATTGGGAGGCACCAAGTTTTTCTCTAAGGTGGACCTACGAAGTGGCTGCCACCAAATCAGAATCCGGTCAGGAGATGAGTGGAAAACTGCTTTCAAAACCAACGAGGGACTATTCGAGTGGTTAGTGATGCCTTTTGGTCTGTCTAATGCACCTAGCACCTTCATGAGGCTCATGCATCATGTTTTTACTTCCTTTCTTACATAAGTTCATTGTTGTCTATTTTGATGATATTTTAGTCCATAGTAAAACTAGAGAAGAGCACTTATCACACCTAGACTCCCTATTCACAGTCGTAAACAGTAATAAGCTAGTCATAAATCTTAAAAAATGCCTCTTCTTAGTCACAAAGATCTCATTCTTAGGCTTTATAATCGGTCAAGACGGGCTTAAGATGAATCCGTCTAAGATAAAAGCAATTTCTGACTGGCCTCAACCACAATCTATAAAAGGTATACAATGTTTTCTAGGAATAGCTTCTTTCTATAGGAAATTTATTAAGACTTTAGTTCTATAGCAAGTTCCCTTACTAACTGCCTAAAGAAAGGCAACTTCAATTGGGATAAGGACCAAACTACTAGTTTCCTCACGTTAAAAGATAAGCTAACACAAAACCCAGTGCTTAAAATTCCAGATTTTACACAACCTTTCGAGGTGGCTGTGGATGGGAAATATTTTAGTGAGAAACTCAGCCCCTCTAAACAAAACTAGAGCATGTATTAACAAGAACTTTATGCCCTTGTTAGAGCCCTCAAGCAATGGGAGCATTACCTATTAAGTCATGAATTCATATTATTCACAGATCATTTTTCTCTCAAGTTCTTACACACTCAAAAAACCGTGAGCCTCATGCATGCTCGATGGCTGTCCTTTTTTGTAGTGATTTGACTTTGTGATCAAGCACAAAAATGGAACCTTGAATAAAGTAGGCAATGCCTTAAGCTGCAAAGGCACCTTACTAACCGTCCTACAATGGGAAATTACAGCTTTCTCAACCCTCCCTAATACTTACCCGAATGACCCTGATTTTGAAACAATTTGGAATCAATGTCAAAGCCATACAAATACGGGAGAGTTCCATATCCTTAATGGATACCTTTTTAAGGGAAACCAGTTATGTATTCCGCATACATCCTTAAGGGAAGCTCTAATTAAAGATCTTCATGCAGGTGGGTTGGCTAGACATTTTGGTCGTGACAAAACACTTACTCTTGTGGCCTCCCTATTCTTT